CAGGGAATTACCTTGGAGGAGGAAATAATCTGGCGTGGTGCGTTTCAGCGCCGCCTTTGCCTTCTCCCCACTCCAGTCGACGGACAGAGCTTCCTTCAGCTGGCAAAACACCACCCGCTGCCAGGGGGAGAAGGTGGGTGTGGGTCCTTCCAGAAAAGCCCCCTCAATACCGGGCACAACGTTCCCCTTGCCCGTGAGGCAACCTTACAAGCTCAGGATGCAGTTTACTGAGCATAAAACAGAGGAGTTTTGGGAAAAACGCCTTGGAAGGAAGTTGAAAGTCACTCCCCCCCAAGTGAAGCTCCAGCACAGACACAGGGACAGGTCTGGCAGAGCCCCGGCCCTCTCCTGGCACGCGGGTTCTGGCATCTCCGACAGGGGTCCGGAGGAATTCCGGTGTCCTGAGGGTGACAGCTGCTTCCATCGGCATCCCAGGAACATTCCCCGACCTTCCGGGGGGAAGCTGCACCCTCCAAGCCAAGCCAAAAGGACCACAAAAGGGCGTTAAGCTGCTGGCTCAGCTCGAATTCCCCTCATAGCTGGATCAAATCCAGGGGGATTTCCACTCCTCCAGTTTAAATGTCCAGCTGGGAGACCAGAACAATGCCCTGGCCAGAGGCATTTCAATGTGAAAAGGTTTCCTCTGGGGCAGATTTCACGCCAGCCCCCTCCCAAGACACTCTCTTAAAGGCAGCTCAGCCCGTTGATAGCAGCAACAGGGCAGCTTTTATGGCCTCAAAACGCTGGAGCCTCACCAGTTATGGCTCTTACAGCTTCCCTTCCCCCACCAAAACCAGCAGAAAAGTTCCTTATACCAGTGTGGCTACAGAGGAAAGAAAAATAGCAGGGAGGTGGGAGCACCCCCAAGTTTTCTGAGGGGGTTTCACTCACTTTTTTCACCATGGTGGTCTCTGCCGAGTCAAGTTTGGCTTTTTTGGTGTCTGGCCCGTCCTCCACGCTGGGATTGACTTTGGCAACTTTGGTTTTCTCTCTGCAGAGGCAAAAATTTACCATTTTGCAAGATGTAAAACCTCCCAAAATCAAAGCACCTCCCCAGGCAGGTGGTGCTGGTTCCCCTCTCACCACCCATTTCCCTCCTGCCCCCCGACTCACTCCACAAATTCGTGCTCCCCAAGGTCAGCAAACATGTAGCCGTGGTAGCCGAAAACATCACCTGTGAAGAACTTGACACTGTTCTTGTGGCAAATCTGGTCGATTTTCACCATCACATCCCTGGAGCAGCCGGTCAGACAGACCTGCGTGCAGAAATTGTACTGCTGAA